CTATTACAACTTTTGTTTACTGGAAGGCTTGCTCTCCAGTTTTGTGTTGCTAAGCGGTATCCAAGCACGTGACCACTAGCTGCAAAGGGCCTATTTCTCATTTGAAATTCAAATGTAAGCTTAACATTTACATTTCAATAGGAATCTTTGTTTTTGACGCTCTTGTCGGTTCCCGGATTAATTTCAAACTTTTAATTAGTTTCCAATATATTTAAAACATTTCCTATCGCAAATGCTTCAGAGTTGTTTTCACAAATCTTAAGATATAGTGTATCAGATATTTCGAAAATTATAAAGAAAATAAATTTGTGTTAAATTTTGGATTATTATGTTAGTATTTTAAAGCGAAACCTTTATTAAAGCCTAATGTTTTTGTATTATTTTTCCCCCAGAATGCTCAGATGTGAGTGTACCAATTTTAATTTATGAAGAACCCAGTACAGCAATCAGAGGAGTTTATGAAGATCCACTCGTATTATTGGAGAGAAAAGTATTACAGGCAGATGCCATCCTACTTGTGACAGACAGACATACATACGAGACACCAGCCTCGTTAGTAACAGTCAAGAAACATTTCAGGGGTGGTAACTATGTATGGCGACCCTATGGCATAAACTGTATATTAATTGGAGGGTCAGTCCACAGCCGTAAAGTAGCTATGGTTTTGCACAGTTTGCTTGAAGGTTCTGATTATATGTCAGGATGTTTGCCGAGGAGGTGTTCATGGACCAAGTTATATGCCATCGACTACAGTATGGAGACACCTGGACCGTGTGTTTTGTGACGGACTCGTTCGAAATTAAAAAGACTATGTTAACATGAGCTGTGTTTTAGCAGCCAGATAAAACATACTTGGGCTCATATTTATAGAGAAAAATCTTTGTTTATTAAAAATCTAGAGTTATTGTTACTTACTGTTCATTGATAAAACTTTTATATTTCTTTCTTGAAAACATCCATTGCACCTATTCCCATCCTTACTGGAACGATCCTATTTTGTATGGTTTCTTTAGCAGTCGCAAACTGGTTCTGGTTTAGTAAAATTCACAAAAATAATATTTGTAAAGTTAATGTTGATAGGGTTGTATATAAGATATTTTGTGTAAATATAGAGAAAAAAAGAAGGCAAAGAGCTTTTATTGTAAATAAAAAGAATTATCGAATATTAATTTATTGATGTTTTTTCCTAACTGTGGGGGAATATGATGGTTACCGTACTTCTAATGTAATTTGTCTTTTTTTTTTTTTAGTCTAGGAATAGTCTCTTAACATAACCGTTTATTCACAATTCATCACCTTGTATACAGAAAAAAGAAGAAAGAAAAGCAAAAAACATGAAAAATTGTGAAAAGAGGTTATCCCTATCTAGTTAACCTCCTTTAAATAAATTACGCTTATATTTCCAGAAATTTCTGTACAATGGGAACATAATTATTGGTTCACAGAAAAATACTGAATTTGCATGTTTAGTTTTATTTCTTTCACGCGTTTTCATGACAGTTGGGTTTTTGCAACCAGTTGATCTCAGCATCTTGACTCCTGTCAGATTGTGAAATAATGGAGAACAATTTTGTAATATTGTTACAGAATTCCTAATATAGAACCGTTCAAGGCGGGAGCCCGGAAATCCGCTAAAGTCGTACGATGTTCAAAAATAGACGAGGTCATGGCACATGGTTCGTAGGGTTCTGACTGTGCGAGGCGAGCATGTTGCGTGCGAACACTTACATACACAATAGCAGGGGAACGAGTTTAAAAGCAGGGGGCTTTTTTTACCGAATGAATGGAATGTTATGCCACTGTGAACGCTTTGATTGTAATATTTAATCCACTAAGGTTCAAAGCTGCATGAAGAAAAGAGACACTTATTTATAACTCAGGATTTTTCTTTTTTTTTTTTTTTTTCAGCGATGTGTCGTTCTGAAATTCTACACTTTTAAATTCATAAATAATAATAATAAGAATGATAAAAATATGTGAAATTTCATAGCACTATAATTCCTAAAGTTCATAAGCACTTAAGCTCATTCATGGCTCCGGTAACCTTTGCTCTTTGCTACAATGGTCTGTCCCGGGTAGTGTCTCGACGAGCAGCTCAAACAAGAAACTGATGCGCCGATTGAAGAACTATAGGATATATCCAAAAAATCTAATAGATTTTTTTTTTGTCTTTTGTTTTACAATTTGCTGTAAAATTTTTACTGGAGTCGTTGTTTGTACGTTGTTCAGTCTAGTGAAGTTTACGCTCTTCTCAACGGTGGATGGTAGGATGGTACCAGTGTACGTGGGCGGACGGGTTCCTGGACGAATTTCCTGGTCACTCATTTAGTTACGTAAAGAAGTGATAATCTCCGGGATAATCTCTTGGTAAGTATGAAATATTACACGAAATTACTTTCTAGCACAATCTATACATACAGTATCAGCTAAGTTCTGCTTGATGAGCATTTTGCAGACGCAATTTTTAATTTGAATTAAATTATAAATTTTCCATATTTTATGCACAAAAGCAGGCAACACACAGGGCGCTTTATATCCGAACTTCACGATTGTCTCCTGAAGAAAGCAGTTGTTCAAAAAAATACTTACAATTGTATGAAAGAGGGCGCTCACAGTCATTACTATCTAAGCTTTTTTTTAAAATACTGTATATATTCCATTGTCACCCAGATCTATCGTCACTATAAATGTTTTGATTCACAGCGGGTCCAAAGTGAAGGTCGAGGACGGGTCAAGGTCACAGGCATCGCTTAAACAAATATATAAATATACCACAAATGGCCTAGCTTTGTTTCATTCAAATAGCTCTGTAGCTCACTGTTTTTTGGGTTTTTCAAATGATCGAATTGCAAAATGCAGAAACGCTGGTTTTGTGTTGGGAGAATGAAAACCGCGGGAAAACCCTTAAATAATCCTCGACTGAAGGCCTAAAAGCCATTTAAATGCATGTACGTGACAACGATGGTTTTGAAGACAACCTTGGCTCATGTTATCTAATCAACACATTCTGTTAAAGAATTAAAGTAAAAACGCCTGAGCATAGTCAGTAAAACAAGAAGGATTATCTTTGCTTGGATAAAATAACGATTCCTGATAGTAATGGTGTAAATGGAACAAACACTTGAAGATAACACGACCATATTGTTCTTTTCCCAAGGTTAATGTTAATATATGCTTCCGGATTAAACGAGGCCATGTCCACTGTGATTCTGTTACCAAGTGTTGAAGTACAAATCCCTGTCTTTACAACACCAAACCAGGCATTTAATAACCCTATTTGCTGCTTTTATTTTGAATGATATGTCTTTTTAAAGTCTATCCCTCCTTCCTTCAGTCCACCGAAAAAATGGTGCAAAAAGTACGAGAAGCCGCCATGACGTCACACAACAGTTCGATCTATTTTTGGGGAGGAGTAGGATAGGATAACACCTAAAATTTATTACAAGCTTTGTTTATCCGCCCTTTTTTCTTTTCTTTTAATATAATTTTTTCCTCCCCCACCAGCCTGCGCTGCATTCGTACATGACGCATGCGTACTAGTCTAAATTAGAGTCAAAATCGGTCTGCACGCAGGCTAGGATGGGAGCGGGAAGGAAATTCAAAAGGGAGGGGAGGAAAAGGTTACAAATGTCCCGCCGGAGACTTCCGTTTGTTTATCTTGAAAACCTTCTTAAGTTTCCCTTCTTGTTCGCATTAAGCCTGCGGAACTCCTCCAGCACACAGCTCCAGCGTTTACAGCCTACCAACCACAAGCGCTGGAGCAACCTTGATCGTGTTTGTCTTTTCCATGGTTTGGTTATGATGTTCCTGACGTGCAGTGAATAAAATCACTGGTATCATTATTTATAAGGTACGTAAGCTTACAGAGATAGAGAGTGTTGTTTGCCTGTCGAACGGAGGTCGAGCTGTCTTTCTTTAGACGAAGGCGATGCATTTTACTAAAGGAAGACATTTTTTATGTAAGTACTCCAAAAAATATTTAGCGTTAAGAGATAATGTTCAGCCAAGGTAAAGATTGACTGGCAAAATAATTTTGGGGATCGATAAGGGATCATAAAGGATCATAGTTTTTAATAGCATCATATCACTGATGTCGATAGAAAAGAAACTATTTTGGTAATTTTAGGGATATGGAAAGACTTTCCTCAAAAGGTTTAGAGACAAAAAAAACAAAACATCCATTACAGGGCCTACATAACACTCTTCAATGCTTGCGTGTGCGTTTAGAAACTAGGCTATCAGATCGATATATCAGCTAGTAATCAGTCGAAGGGATTTACTTTCTAAAATGTTTTCTTGAAACGAACTAGTTTTGCAGTTATTCGTGCCGTTCGCATTGTTATTGATTTTTTTTTTTTTTTTTTTTTTTTTTTTTTTTAAAAAATTTTTTTTTTTTTTTTTTTTTCAAAAAACGTTTGCCTTAATCAGCAACTTGATAACAACAGATAGAGTTTGTAAACAGTTATCCGATACTGGTCAAAGTTCAGTTCAGAGAAAGGGATATGTTACGTGCGGGGTTTGTTTTTGTTTCGCCGAACCGCTTCACAACTACGGTTTCAGAACTTCCAATACTTTCTTTATTAACTATAACTTTTACATCTTGATAGCGTTTAAGTTGAATTCTAAGCGAAGGACAGTACAAAAGAAAAAAGCCGAAACATTGTCTAAATTAATCGAGCTACCTGATACAAATGAAATTTAATGAAAGGACGAACTTACCCGCCCGGAGAGGGGGGGGGGGGGGGGGGCCCCGCCAGATTTGGGGTGGGGGTGTTACGCCGGGAATCTGATTGGGGTCTCCTTTTTATGGCAAAAAAACCCAAATTTGTAGACCCTGTTCATGTTAAAAGATATAATTAATTGCAATGAGTTCCCGTTTCAATTATCATGTCATCTCGCGTATCGTTTTTTTACGACCATGGTAACCAGTAGAAACCCTGAATATGACAGGAAACTCAGGAAGAACTTCGAACTTGAGTGAAATTACATACCCTGTTTATGACAAGAAGCTCGAAAAACCATACCCTGTTCAGCGGATCATCCCCGTATAGTCCATATATGGGAGTACCCCCTCCCCCCCTCCGGATTTAAAAGACAAGTGTTGGGTAGCATAAAGTATGACACCAAAAGAAAACCACTCGCGCTTTGAAGCTGAGCTTCAGACCAATGATCGATCGAAAGAAGTGTGAGAATGCGCATGAGATAGGAGGACAGCAGAAGTGAAGGGGAATTATTATCCGCGAGGTTATTCCCAAGACAAATTGAAATCAGATTTTTTTTAAATTTTAGATTCTTGACAAGAACTGAATGACGTTAATAAGAGTAATGTAGGCGGTTTAATAAGACCTTTCCATAAGAATGATTATTCTTACTTAAACGATTTTTTAGAAAATCCAATTTATCCACTAGAAAAAATCGCTTGAGTGGTCGATAAATAGATTGGAGGAAATTGTCCATTTTTCAATAATAAAATTCCATCCAATCGTAAGATAAGAACGATGGTCGTACGTAACGATGTACCGATACAAACAACCTTAGCCCCAGTTGGCTTAGCGTAGGCGGACTAAAAACCACCTATCGTCCGTGTAGTTTTAATTCATCGAAATGATGCGGTTATTCTCATGAAAGTGAATTTTTTTCAGTTAAGATAGAGAATTAAGCTTTGTGGAAAGAAAGCCAGCGAATGCGCACATTTGTAGAGGAAATGTCCTGTGAAAATCAGGTCGGTGTGAAAAAAATACATGTATTATTGACGCCACATCAGCGCGCATGCCCGAAACGAGTTTTGAACTAATTACTGAAGGATTTCTCATTCTGTTTCCTCAGAACGACAAAGTTAAAAAACGTTCGACTCTTTTATTGACACAAAACCGGGACGCTACTTGGCTATAAATATGAACAAATTTAAAATTCCTGCAACGGTTTTATTGCTTAGTCTAAGGTATCACTGGGAGACGACTGTCGATATATAGTTACCTGTGAGTGTGCAGCTGAGCGCTGCATTAAGAATAGATGACAACCATTCACAAGCTTCCTGAGAAAGAACTAGCTAGAAAAATCGGATTATAGTAATGCTGAAAAAGGCCCCCTTTTTGCACTCAAAGTCATAATATCCTCGGTGCCTTCGGCGTTCAAGAATAACACTTGCGCTTTTGACGGAGACATCCTTGCTTTAATTTATTGTTATTGTGCATAGCCACGAATCCTTTGATAACCAACGACTTGGTAATGATCAGCTTTTTACGGGTTTTTCAGTTTTCCTCCTTCCGCCAAAACCTACACGCTAAATTCCAATTCAATCTGTGAATAAGCCATACCCTCATGACTTTGATAAGCCCAGAGGTTGTATCAGGTGTCGATAAAAAAAATTTTTTTTAGAGGCTCTCCATGTTTTAGTTTTAGCATCTTTAATATTATTATCTCCCTTAACAATTGGGTTTAGTGGACTGTAAAATAAAAGGGAATTATTTTTAGCGATCTTCAGGTATATTAAGCGCAGGATCAGGCACTAGCGGAAGGATTACGCGTTAGAACGCAGAGAGACAATGAATTTGTGGATTTGCAAAGTTTCAATCTTCGAGAGTCATTTTCAGGGAAATTTTAGATCGTAATCTTTTAATTCTATCTTCAAGTACCTTAAACTAGTGCATGGATGTCAACACCAGCCTTTCTTTAGCGGTAGCGGAAGAATTTGCGCAAGAGCCTATTGACCTTGAATACGCACAGCTTTCATTTTCTGGCAAGCCTGGGCGAGTTACTGGAATAAACGGCAGTGTGTTGACTTAAGCCTAATTCTCACTAGCTACCCAAGCATATTAAGCACAATGAGCGCAAGCCAACGCAAGACAAATCTTGCATCCCTCAGTTCTTTTCGTATTGAGAACATGGAGTTGCGTCTGTTTGTGTCGCTAGTGACAGCCATGCGACTTTATCTTGACGAGCGCAAATCAAACAGTGAAACTGTAACTGTATTTTTCTAGGCTGCACATGATGGATAACAGCTCAGACCGCCCCCTCAATGTCGTGTTGTTTGTAGATTTTGATGTTCGCAGTAGCTATCCATTATATGCACAGTGCGTCCTGAGAAAACTGCTCGACCAGGGACACCACGTTGCTTTATTTGGTAAGTGTATTTTGATAGACTATAATTGCGCACGTTTTGCTTATATTGATGAAGCGTCGTACGAGTCTTTGTTTCGTACCTTCGTCTATAATCGTTTGCTCAACTCGTCTGTATACTGTATGCTAGGGGAGCTGAGCTATGGTCGTAGAAGCGAAAAATGTAAGATTTTTAATTACCCTTTGGTGCAATTTGATGAGGAAAAAAGCGGATTAGAATTTTTGAGCAGATGAAATCCCATGGATTAAATTTTTCATAAACGCACAAATTCAGCTCAAAACTCTAGTTATTTACATAAATGAGCTTTTCTTTTTGAATGATGTTATTAATTTTAGCGCATTACCAAGAGAAACCGCTGTTGTTGTTGGAGGAGCCCGCGCAGACTCAGTCCACCGACATAAATAATCATCATCATCATCACACGCGCAACCAGCCGCCAGGAATCGTCTTCCAGCTTCGCCTCGCACGAGCAGATGCCGTACTTATCATCACACCTCGTACCGTACACGAACTATCCTTCTCTCTTCCTCGATTTCAAGCTGGTAATAACGCATTTGACGGGCATACCTATACCTGGCATACGAACGGAATAAGCTGTGTGTTACTCGGAGGATGGATTAATAACCGAAAAGTGGCCATGAAAGTTCGGGCCATTCTCGCCAGTTCTGATTACCCGGACATGACCCGAGCGCTTCCGAGGCCAGCATACCTTGATAAGTTTTATGTCGAAGACCAAAGTATAGAAACCCCTGGACCGTGTATTTAGGACAAGACTCGTTTACAGGGCCTCCCTTTTGAATGGGTCAGGAAGAGCCTGGGAACGAGGATGTTTGATAGCTTGATGATGATGGTTCTCAGAGTCGAGCCTACACTCATTTTGGTCAGCACTGGTTCAGTGTCGAGGGACTAGTCTGCATGTTTGATGAATCAAATGAATTGTCGGGATGGAATTGCCATGAACGTCTTCATCAAGCTACCAAAAACTCGCAAAGGACTTGCCAAAGACTATAGGTTAGTCAAAGTTCATTGTAATTTGTAATTACATTTTGATAATATAAAATATTAACTTATATAAATTACCCACAGATGTAATAATAAACGTAGTATATGCATTATACTTTTGGTTGGTTAGTGTAGTTATTTGTCTTAACGATATTTAAAAAACAGAAATGTCGCTCTTATGAAACGAATTCCGGGCAAAAAACAAACTTGTTTTCCAAGCATCATATATGTGACTTGAGTGGTATCACGTGACACTAAGCAATCACGTGATAATCCTTGTCATTTAATGACATCATGTTAATAGTTATAGCTAAAAGTCACATGACTGGATCTGAAAGACTTAAGATGTTACGTGTATGGTTATCGACTTATAACGACTTATAAGGAGATTACGTGATATCAGGGCACAAGATTAAGATGATATTACGTGACCTTAGGCTAATTCGGGTGGCGTGGTGGTCACTATTCCTTTTTTCTTTTCTCTTCAAACTCTTGTTGTTCTTTGGCAAGTTTTGCTTTTTCTTGGTCCAACTTTGCCTGTAAAATATAAAAGAGCAACATTTGAATATTTCGTCAGTCACAGAGGTGAAATACCTCCGTCTGATGCCCACGAGAGAATGAGCTAAGGAGAGTAGAAGATAAGTAAAAGTGGGTCAAAAGGTTCCAACTGAAGGGGGTCGGGACGAGGAAATAATGATAAAAATGATGATTTTATATAGCGCCTTTTCCTAAAGTCCAAAAGCGCTTATAGAATTCAACATGTTGGTTAGAGAACGGGTTAATACCTTTTCTTCGTCCAGCTCTTCTTTTTTCCCCCTGATCCATTCTTCGTTCTCTTGTTTATGTCTCTGCAGCATTTCCTCTAGTTCCTTCAAACAATATCAAAATATTTTCAGATCTAAACTTAGAAAACCCCCCCAAGTTTCCCATCCTACGTCTAGGTTAAGTACCCTTCATCTTTATCTCAAGTACCTTTTGTTGTTTGTGATACTGTTCTATATTGGCTTCTCTTTCTTCCTGGAAGCTGTCTATCGATGACTGGAGAGCGGACTTTTGTCTGAATATGGGGAAAAAACTCAATCAATCGAATATGTGCAGTGGCAGTCTAAATGACCATCACGTCATAAATGTTCGGTATGGACATGCCGCACCGTGCCGTAACTTCCACGGATTCCAGCATTGTTTGGATGGTCAGGGATCTCATCGGACCGGCTGAGCCTGGTTCCTGTACCGTACCGTATGCCGGGATATTGTGCTAAGCAGTAGATTTTGTTCGGTGTATGTCTGGATTGCAGGTGTGTTCCGAGGTCTGGTACGCACACCATTACATAAGTGAGGAATATATAACAAATTTCCGATGGTTTTGCGTGGTATGTCCTCTCATTTACCACGGCTCTCGACCAATCAGAAAGCGAGAAATTTTACATTTGCGGTATAAAAAGCACCATGTTCTCTATCTCGGAAAAATCCTAAGTGAACTAAATTGCCGTGGAACTTTAGACTTAACTCGAAAATGTGGTTTATGGTTGGCCATACAGCTGTCGCGCGCAACATGCTTACGCCACGTTTTGGCTAATATTTACAGTCGTAAGCGAGTTGTACGGTGGAATTACACGAAACAATTCGTATCTTCAGCATGTTGCCTGCGACACTTATATCTAACGTGTAAATCGGTCTTTACAGTTGTAGGTTTACTTACGTTTCTAACTCAGCATACTTGGATGACAAGTCTTCAAATATATCTTCAATTCTTTGAATAAACGTCACTTTTACAGTATCAAAATTAGGCGGCTTAGCAGGCTACAGAATTCGAAAGGTTAGATAAATGAACAAACGCGAAAATTCACTTGACTTTTAACATCACAAGTTATTAAGATCTAGTTTATGTTCACCAACAATGACAAGAAAGTAAACAAGCCATAGTGTTAGTATCTACGGGATTTTACCTCGTTTAGAGAGGGCATTAACGTTTCGTACGGTGCTGGGATGGGCACGTTTGTGTCGTAGCTGGTCTGAGGCCCTGGGACGCTATAAGTAACAGAAGAAAAGAGTTGTAAAAAAATGGAAAAACATGTAGAAAAAGCGGAAAATCTGTTGTTTATGTTTTCTCACCTTTGGAATGAGGACGTAGATTCATCCAGTGCATCTGGAAAAAGAATGAAAAGGAACCAAACAAATGGCCGGGATGATTATTGCGCAAAATGCGTGACAACAAGATTGCGCCGTGTGTCCAGCTCTGTAATTGGTGAGCGCAATATTGCAGAAGCAAAATCGAGATCTAATTCTTGCAACGTTACGCACAACAAATTTCCTTGCGTGAACACGTTCGTAACATTGCCTGCAATGGCGTGATGTTCTCAAACAATGAAAAGTGTCTTTCAGTCAAGTACACCGGTCAGAATTAAGCATTTCCTAATTCATCTCATTATTATGAGAAATATTGCTCGAAAATCCTTTCGTCAACAACTTGCATGCATCAGATGCACCCTGCTTCCGATACCTTGACGAATTCAAAACACCTGAATCTTGGTCGCACAATGAAAAGCACTAGGTCTTAAGATCGCTTGACAAAGTACCTGACATCCCGGGAGGAAGCTGTTTGGCGGCTGCTCTGGTCTGTAGTATAGCAATGTCATTGTAATCTTTCTCGTCATTCATACCACCAAATACAATCATCTGGAATGAAAATATAATAATAGTACAAATTCGAGATTAGGACTCAGTCGGAAGGACACACGTCCAGGTCACAGTGGTGCATGGTTACGATGCAATAAGCAGCAAACTCTGTGGGTTTTACAGATTGTATCCTTCAGATTGGGTTGTGCAGACTTCTCACTCCCATGTAGGGAGGGGTAGATACAATCCCTTCCTCCTCCCCTCCCCCTGGATTAACTTCTGATCTGCCACAACACGAAGAATGAAGGCAGGTGACATAGTCCACCCACCTGTCCATAAACCATGACTGCTGTATGGCCGAGACGCCTTTCAGGGGGGGTTCCTTCACAATGGAGCTTCTTCCATTTCATTTTTGCTGTAATAAAAAAGAAAAAACATCATACTCAACAGAATGAGAATGACGGCAATATAAATTCTCCCTACAGGTTAAGTCTGCATTTGACCAATGCATATTGCAATCTTATTTCCACCAAAGGGAAGACCTATGCCATACCTTTTCAAGCCTTACAGGTTCCATACTTACATAAGCTAAATTTGAAGACCTCTCCAAATGGAGAACGTGACTTTAGCGAAGATGAGTCATTGGCCCCTCCAAACATATAAATATCCTGTTGGTGAAATAAAAACAATCTATCTGTCATTCTTGTGAAGAAGGACTTTTCATGAAGATATAATTTTTGAAAAGTGTAAATTTTGTCAGCAAACCTTTGCTGAATGCAGGAGATGCCTATATGAAATTTCGAAATTTTGAACTTACTTATTTGTAACTTAATAGTTTTACTAATTTGAACATGCACTTCCTAGCTATCATAATCATTCTTCTGTCCTGTAGTTTTTGAAATTATATTACAAAAATGTTCATTGGTTTAAATCCACTGTACCTTGTCATGATGTGCACAAAGAGAATGTAGGCTTCTTGGATGTGGAAGATGACCTTGTGCATTGATAAAATACCATACAAGGGTCACTGTAGACATGAGACAACTGCATGAGCTTGGATTTTATTTAACAGTTAAAGTTTAAAGTTATTTATAGTTGAATTGCTGGAAAAGGTTCACAGATACTTCCGCTGAAGTTCACTAGTACCCAGGGGCATAAGGGGGGGGGAGGGGGGGCAACTGCCCGACCCCCTATGACAATAAGAGATGAAATATGAATAAGTCAAGTTAATATTCATTAGTTCTGTTAAATATGGGTTGAAATAGTCATACCTGAGTCAAAGCAGTATAGGTCATTAAACCAGATATTTTCACCACCACTGCCGCCGAAGATATAAAACTTCTCTCCAATAACAGTACATGCATGGTCACACCTATGGTAGTGGCCGATATATAAGTTAGAAAAACAATAAAATGATAATTGATTGGCATAGCTACGTTATTTTAATACCTTGGTGTTGGTGGATGTCCAGATGTTTTGAGAGTTGTCCATGTTAGGTTACCTTCAATTGAACCAAAAAAAAAGACATTACAACAGAAAAATGTCTTAATAACTAAGTAATTAAGGGTCATTGTGGTCAAGTTCACTTTTTCAGAGGCCAGCATCATGATTTAGGTAGCTCAAGCATTGTAAAGATACATTTCAAGGCTCCATCATATACACCCATCCTAAATGTTATGCATACACTTCTTAATACATCTCTTACAACTGAGGAGGGTATATAGCAAGCATTAGTATGAGGTGATTCCAACCTAAGGTTTGATCCTGCTCAAAAGAGCATTCTCTCTTATAAAAAATCTTATGAATTATGCCAAAGTTGGGGGCAGGGGTGGGGGTGGCAGTGGGGGTGGGGGTGGGGAGGGGATTGAGAACTCTGAACATCATCTACTGACTCCTTATAGTCCAATGGTATTACTTTCACAAGTCAAAATTACCAGTATTGAGCATGTGCAGTGTGTTTCTTGCTTCTCCGCGGTATATACCACCAAACACATACAGGGTGTCACCAATAGCAGCAGTCGACTGTCCTAATGCTCTGGGCTGGTATCCTTGTACAGGACACTGTTCCCATGACAACGTACCTAACAATAAATAATAAATAATCTTGAGAACTTACAGGGTTGATAGTAAGTATAACATCAACCTGTCTCAATTTTCAAACCGGGCTACCAAAAGAAATTCTTTGGGGGGAGGGGTTGGGTAAAGAGAGAGACTGGATTAGACTATATGCCCTAACACAGGGAGCACAGATGCCTGAAAAACTTGCAAAATGCTTACCAACATCATAAGCATAAAGCCCTTCTAGGCATTCATCTGCTTCAGGATAATTAGTTCCTCCAAGAAGATAGAGAACAGACCCAACAGAGCTTAACAAACAAACAAAGGTTAGGTAAGGTTTTTTTCCTGCAATTTATTTTATTCATATGATATAATGTTTAGCTGATTTGACTGTGAGTTGCTTACCTCAGGGTGTGACCATCTCGTCCACAAGGTATGTCACCTAGCTGTCTCATTCTCTCCCAAGTAACCTGGAGACCAACTATAAGAAAAGACAATTACTTTTAAACAAAGATGCAAACTTGTATCTCATAGCCCTTATTGCCTTTATGCTTTAACCAATAGACATCCTCGACCCAGTGTAATGTTTTCCCATTTCAGACCATGTGTCATGCATTCCCTTGGGAATAAGATTCTTTGTTTGATTCTTGTTAAACAAAGAAATGATTCTCTAAGGAATGACATGTGGTCTGAAATGGAAAAACAAATATTACAACTGAGCGTGCCCGAGCCCAGAGGTCTGTTAATCAATGAATATTACAGGCACAGTATAATCTGTCAAACATTACTTTTTTAGAGTCTATGTCTGTTATTCTTGTTAAGTGTCCTACCTTTTAAATGGAAGAGGTCATTCAGATAAACAGGGTCTGTATTGCCATTAACATGTTCCCCATAGCCACTACCACTACTGCCGCCAAAGATATATGCACTCTTCCCTACTAGTGTGATGGCATGCCCCTGCCTGGAAATACATGGCAACAAAGTTAAAAACTATTGAATATATTGAATATATTCATATGAGGGTGTTTTCACGTCAAAGAGCTGATGTGAGTTGACTGCAATGATTCCCAGATGGCTAAGAGTTTTTACCAATCAAATGAAAAAAAGATGCACAACTTGCATTAGCAATGTCATAATGAATCCAATAGTGCCATTTCATGTAGTCTTACATAAAGTACTAACCTTTTAACAAATATGCTTTTGTCTATGGGGGGACGGGAAGGGGGGGGGGGGGGGGTGAATTTCAACTCTTGGTTCAGGAACTTTTAGGTATGATATGAAGAGGTCAGAAAACACTATCTATTGATCATAAAGCACACAGCAAGGGATGAAAAAAACACACACATATACCCTCAATATTTGGTCGTATTCTCTCCAGCGTAGCAATAAAGACAGGTATGCCAATTTTGTATAGAGAATTAAAAGTTTTGTAATCAAAACACTGTAAGAAGTTTGAAATAAAAATTCCCAAATAGACAAAATATATATACCTTGCAGCAGGAGCTGCGCCGTAGCTTTCTCTCTTGATCCAAGTACAAGACATCGTCCTTTGAATTAGAAAATTAATGAAATTCACCGATCAATTTAACGCATTTTCTCTGCCATTTGTGTTGTGATACGTGTTTCTAAGCAAGGAAAACCGAGCAAGACTAAGACGAGATTTCTAAAGTACCAAACGAAGATAAACCGAACGTAGCACGAGAAGGTGACGACTTTTTGAGGGTTTTCGGAAACCGTTCGGAAAATATTTGTGGTTTATTTTTGTAGATTTTGAACAAAAATTGAATAAAATGATAGTTAAATTTTAAAAATTTTGATTTAAAGGTAACTAAGTTAACCGAATATGATGTCAGGAAGGGGGAATTTTTGGAGGAAGAGGAAGTTATGGAGGGTCACCGGGGTGCGTGACAGACATGCGTGAAAGACAGGTTCTGGCTTGACAAACATGATGATATTTAATGAGAAATGATAAAGAATATGGCCGTCAAGATATCCTTCAAATATCCCTGAACAACGACGGCTTTAAGCAGTACAGGGATTCAGTACTCAGTTGCTATGCATCAGGTCATGATTGGAAAGAAAAGATTAAAGAAAATAGTGACTTTTCCTGCTACTAGTGCGAGAAAATGGCGATCAAACAATCGAGAAGGCAAAACGGTAAGTCTCACTCTACTCCTTCACCATTGAACAAATTTCATTGTTAACTAACAATATTGAATGTTCACACTCGGAAATTACTGCTCTAATGATATTTACTTATTTTTGTACTTGATATTATTAGCTATACACAAAATATATCGTTCAAATGAAAAGAAATCGAGTGTCCTGTAGAAGTTACTAGCCTCTTGTGTTTGATATCTTCAATTATTTCCACTAGAAACATCCCTTAAACATTTTGTTTTTTCCTTTTTACCTTTTATTTTTGTTTTTATGTTATTACGTTATTTTTATATCCAAATACTAATTGAATTGTGTTAAAAAGGGGATGAAAAAAATACTAATCCTCATGTAGTTTTATAGCTTCCAAAAAAAAGACGCCTGAGAAAATGATATTGTTATTGTTTGTGATTTCTTAGTAAACAGAAAGAATATTTCTGGATTGATAAGAAAACCACTGTTTTAGGTGGTATTTCAATAATATTGTCTCATAATACGTGCCTTATTGTAATGATAATCATATTTGCTTTGTTTAATATATGTACATTTAATTGGCTATTATTTGTGCTGTCAGCTGTGCAAAAAATTGATTTTTAATGGCAATATGGAATAAGAATTATCGCATAATACTCATTGTTGCAGTAATCTATATGCCTAAACAGTGTACGATTTTTTCAACCTTTTTTCAAAGTAAAATGGAGTAAAATATTTGAAAATGATATGCCAAAGTGCTGTAAATGGCAACATGAATGTTTATCAAGCTAATAATTAGGTAAATATTCATGTTAGTCACCAAACTTCTGTTAAGTAGCCTTATTGATCTGTTTTTGTTTTGTTCACAGGGAATTGGCAAACCAAATGTATACCATGCAACAATAGTTATATTCTTAGAATTCTTCGCTTGGGGTCTTCTGACATCTCCTATGTTAACGGTATGCTTTATAGATAAATCAGCTGATTTATGAGTATAATGTAAACTTTCATAAGCGAATATGACATCTATGGCATAGAGGATGCGTAACGCCCGTCACTTATTTGTTACTTATTTTCTGATCAAAGTAGTATTTAAGAGTGGCTGTCCGTAACGGTCGAGAATGGCGGGACAGCGAAGGAATTTTCAAATTTCTCATATTTTGTCAGAAGACACCCTTTGGTAAGCTCTTTTAAAAAATCCAGTTTAAAACTTCAAGCGCTTTTTTATTTTGGCGAATTTTACGAAA